AACAATAACTGCTATTAACAGACACTCAGCCCATAGCATATTTGCAGCAAAATTCTTTTGAAATCAAATACAATATTTTCCAATTGCCTTCATTTGTTCTCTCCAACCGTAATTGTTGAGTTGAAGCAGCAGACTTATTCACAGAGCCAAGGCAATTTATTTTTACTGAAGCCTACCTAAGAACTGCTTAGGTAGCCTTTCTCCATGAGATTAAATATGACCTTCACTGAATCATGTTAGCAGGGCCAGCAGCTAGAAAAATAAAGACTAAACCAAACCTTCAGCAAAAAAAGTCCCAGCTGCTCAGTGGGTCAGAGCTTGCTGATTGCTTTCTTCCAATGAAAACACTGTAGATTAGTTTTAAGTGAATTCTAGTAGGTTTGGAGATTTGGAATTGACAGAAGAACAAGAAAGTATAATCTTACTTTAAAATAGTAATCTCGAAGGTAAATCTTTATTGACTTTTTTCAAGGATGTTGGGATGTGTGTGTGTGTGTGTGTGTGTGTGTGTGTGTGTGTGTGTGTAAAAACTTAACTCATGTGCATTGTTTAGCTGATCTTTAAAGACAGGTCTTCAGGGTAGAGTGGAGATAGAGAATTAGACATGAGGCTGTTGTCCCAAGAAGACATCTGGGCATGTGGGGTGTGCTGGGGACTCCCAAGTACTGACACAGATGGTCCTGCTCCCTTTCTTCTCTCTGTTATTAGAATGAAAGTGGAAACTTGGGGAGTCTGGAAGGGAGGCCCCAGTAGGGAATGCTATTTTTATTTTTGGGTGTGGTCATACTGGTGATTTGAGAAGTCAGGGTGAATTTAAAATATTCTTGGAGAGGATTTGCCTTTCTTCCAGGTGCTTTTAATGCATAAAGCCTTTTTTTCCCTCTCTCTCTTTTTTCAAAGGCAGGTTGCAATCTGAGAGATGGGTAGAGAAGTTCACTCAACTGGAACAGTAGACTTTTGATTAGTCGATCATTTATTTAACAGGCGTTTACGCAGTGCTAACTATGTATATAGAGGACGGTAGTAAAAGGTAAAATAATGATCCGATTGGATTTGAGTTAGCCAGGTAGAGGATCTGCATTCCTTATAGTTAGGAGCCTAATTTTTATAGTTAAATAAAACAGAATCAAGCAATTGGGCACCGAAGACCACAGTTCCAGAAGTGATTTTAGATATCCTGAATCCCTCTTGGGGTTCTTCTATAGGCCACACGGGGTTGTCTCTGGTTGTAGGAGAAACAGCAGTGCTAATATGACAAATTTTTGGCCAACCGTATACATTTTATTTCTAAAAGTCAGATTCTTAATAAATCATATAACAGGCAGAAAACAACATATTGTTTTGTTGTTGTTTTTCTACAGTTCTTCCATTTTTAGTTTGCATGTAGAATTCAACTGTTCTCCGGTGTCTTTTGTCATTCAGGAAAGCCACGTGGGTAAGCCCTGATAGTTATCTACTTTCCTTTCCCTCAGGGTAGACGCTGTAACTAGCAGTGCTGCTAATACACACTCTACTACTGCTCTAATTCCCTCCTGGGAGGTTGATGCTGGGAGAATCTAGCCCTTTGTGTCTTCAGGAGAGGCTTTCTCCTAGTAAAGTTTGGGATTACATCACCCTGAAGGGAAAATCGAACCTTATTTAATTTTGAAAATCCATCATTTATTCTCTCTCTCTCCTCTCTCTTCCCTCCTCCCCTTCCCTCCCTCTCTCCCTCTCTGTGTGTGTGTATGTGTTTAAGTGAATACTTAAAGTTGCATGGAATTAAATAATTATCATCTGTAACAGGACTGAAGGAAACAGTGGCAGCAAATAGTGAATTCATAAACACATGTCTAGTTCTTTTTTTTTATTGTGGTAAAGTTACATAACATACAGTTTACCAGTTAATTATCTTTAAGTATACAATCCAGTGACATTAAGTACATTTAAAATGTTGTGCAATTATCACCACTATCCACTATCCACTCCAGAACTTTTTCATCATCTCAAACAAACTCTATACCCATTAAACAATAACCCCACTTCCCTTAGCACTGGGCAGCCACCATTCTACTTTCTGTCTCTATGAATTTGACTACTCTGGGTACCTCATGTAAGTGGAAACATACAATATTTGTCCTTTTGTGTCTGGCTTATTTCACTTAGCAGAATGTTTTACAGGTTCATCGATGTCGTAGGGTGTATTGGAACTTCATTCCTTTCTAAGACAATAATATTCCCGCCATTTTGTTTATCTGTTCATGAGCACTTGGGTTGTTATTAGCATTTGACTATTATTGTGGGTAATGCTGCTGTGAACCTTAGTGTAAAAGTATCTGTTTGAGTCCCTGCTTGTAGTTCTTTAAATCCAGTAGATCATATAGTAGGTAATTCTTTGTTTAACATTTTGAGAAACCACCAAACTATTTTCCACAGTGGCTGCACCATTTTATATCCCTACCAATAATGCACAAACGTTCCAATTTCTCCATATTCTCACCAAAATTTGTTATTTTTTATTTATTTTTTTCTTTTTGATAATACCCATCCTAAGTAATGTGAGGTGGTATTTCATTGTGGTTTTGATATGCATTTCCCTAATAGTGAAACTGAGCATTTTTTCATGTGCTCATTGGTGATTTATGCATTTTCTTTGGAGAAATGTCTATTCCAGTTCTTTGCCCAATTTTGAATTGATTATTTTGTCGAATTGTAGGATTGAGTCATTTTTTTGTGAGTTCCAAAATGACATAGTAGTACAGTCTGAAAAACTAACAAAGATCCTCCCTTATTACAGTATATGTAGCATGCGGCACAAAACCATTTTTAAAATTTTAGATGTAAAGCTGACAAAGCACCTACTGAGGAATTAAATTATAGTGAATGAAGTAAATCAGAGTGGATAAGCGTACCTAACCTCGCAGAATAGTAGAATTGGAAATTTCCTTCGAGGTTACCTCAGCTCCTTCATTTTTTCAGCTGGAGAAATCAAGTGACCTGCCCAGGGTCTTATGTCCAGATTAAGTACTCAGTACATTTTGTCAAACTCTGTAGCAAAAAATTAAATTTCTCCTGTTGTATTTTGAATCCTTTCAGCAGTGCTTGAATATGGTAGTGAATTAATTATCGTGGCTGCTTATATGGTACCTTCAATACTTGGGGCTCATGAAAGAGACCCTAAGGTTCATCACTTTTGTAGTTTTAGGGTTCAGGAGAGTAAAAAACAACCTCAGAATAACATTTGGGGGCATGAGAATTTGTAAAACATTCACTAATAGTTCAATACTATTTGGGTGAAAAAATTATTGCTGTACTAAGAGATCTGTTAAGTAAAACTAATAAAAGCATGTGTGTATGTATTGTGAATTAGCAACAGAATGAGAAACTATTTATTCTTATAAGAACTATACTAGATGAAGAAATTCAGTAAAGTATCAGAACTTTACAGTAGCAAATTTATTGTTGGTTTGCCTTTGTGGTTTGTTCAACTTTTTTATTTCATGAAGTCCTTTAGAAAATTTGTCTTTATTGAATAATATAGCCTGGCAAGATAACATATGGATTATAACTAAGAGTGAGTTATAAATAATTGGGAAGAAGATACATACATAATGTCTGTTTGACATAAGGCAGACTAGTAAGAGGAATTGCAAAAATTTGTATTCCCTTCAGGCTTAGGGCCAAGGCTTTTAAAAAGTCCTTAAAATTGGCCTGTAGCACTGTGATGAACTTAAGTTGAAGACTTCTTTCTGCAAGCAAATATTTTAAATAAAACTCTCAGGGGAATTAATTCCTTTAGCAGACACTTTTGAACTGCTGTATGTGAAGCCCTGTGCTGTGGAGATGTAAAGTTGAAAATTTCACGTTCTCGAAGAGCTTACTATTTAGTTAGAGAAAGGCAGGCAAATATCATCTTTAGGAAGAGAAAGAATTAAATAGGTGCTTAACAGAAGCACAGAAAGCAAAAGGCTGTGGGAGGGAAGTGGAAGGAGCTGTATCTGAGAAGTCGGGTGTGCTTCACTACGAACATCCCCAAGGAAGGAGTATTGGCTGGTGGCAAATGGATTAGCAAGGGCATCTTTCGTTGAAAGAACAGCTCGAGAAAAGACGTGATGCGTTGAAAATTCCTTACACTCTTGGTGCATGGAGAGTTCTCTGGTGTGCTAGGAGCAGATAGACCAAGGGTGCAGTGTCAAGTTCCTGGTGCCTGCAAATGCTTTCTTCAGGGCAGGGTTCCTGTTATTGCTAGTAAGGAAAGGCTTTGTTCTGAGGATAGAGCAAGCTTTTTGCGGAGAGGGAAAGTTATTGAGGATTTGGAACATTTCCTCCCTTACATTTTAGAAAACGATGATGACTATTAGCAGATGGGTGTGGCAGAGCTGTGCGCTGCTGCGTTTAAAAGATGTAGGGGGGGATGCATTCGTTGTTCATACACATAATGGGCATTGCAGAAAAGATGGAATTGTGTTTTTGATAATAACCAGGCCTGTCGTTGAGGTGCTTTCATATGTTTCTAAGAGGAAGTGGTATACCAGTACAAAAATATTTTTGTATTCTCTTTTGGTTTGTTTGGATTTGATTTATAATGAGAATGAAGTGATTATTAATAGGTTTGCAATACTCAAAGGAGTTGTCTTTAATACGAGGAGAAACTCAAGTTAGGGATCCAAGAGAATAGCAAGGCATCCCGAAGCCACTCCGTAGCACAGCAGAAATTTTTAGGACAGGACATCCTGGTGGCTCAAGGAGTGCTTGGATCTTGTTGGCATCTCAGCAGTGAGACTGGCCGTTGGGTTAGGAGGCCCCTCCCAGCCCAAGGCGTGAGATGCGCTTGGCGAGGTTCTCCAAGTGACACCATGGAAGACCACGGAAGGGTGCGTTCATGGAACCTTAGGGTCAAGCCTAAACTACAGTGACTACGGGAGCCCTGAGAGGGCGGGAGTATTGGCTGTCCCACTTGGAGGCTTCTCCCATCTGCATTCCCATAGCATGGCTGAGGTTGGAATGGCGCCACCATCAGGAGCGGAGGCCATACCAGCTTGGTAGTCTGGGTGCTCCCATAGCATTTATTGGATATTTGCTTGGGGTCTTCACTTGGTTGTATCAAAGGCCCTATTATATTTCTTTGCTATATTTCAATATATTACACTCTGCATGTATTATCAATGACCGCCCTTTTGACCCCATTATAAATTTTGGAGTGCTGTTGTGAGGCCTCAGCAGTACCCAGTACTCAATAAATATTGGTTGAATTAAATTCTAATGATTGGCCTAATTCTCCATTTATTTCCTGTTCAGATACAAACCCATCTGTAGTACCTTAGGGCTAACAGGGCTTGTGTGCTCTGTTTTCCAGTAAGGAACAGGACCAGAAAGGACGTGGAAAGTCCATCAGCCCTGCTTGATGTACTGGGGTGTATCCAGGTGTTTCCTCTCATCAGACGTCAGGGACCCTGTTAAGGTAGAAGGACAGATGGCTCTCTGGTAATTAACTCTCTGTTAATTCACCAGCCTTAGTCAAGCCTTCCAGCTGTTTCTCTACCACATCCACCCATTTTCTCCCGGGGCACAGCTTTCTGGTATTACTAATGGTTCAAACTCGCAGTCCATACTTGCTCCCTCCTTGCTGTTATTCTTCCTTTTGTTTGGAATGTTTTTCCTTCTTGTCCCCCCAAAGATCTCTTTTCAAGCCCAGAAGTCTTCTAGAATTCTCTCTCTCCTAGGCTTTTACGTAATACAGCACAACTCCCCCAAAATGCTTTCCGAAAATGCTTTCCCCAAAATTTGCTGTGTTACGTAATGCCTGGTCACATTAATTGTGAGGCTCGTGAGACAATGGGGGCGAGTCTGATCCAGTGAATGAACCAAGAACCAGTTGTGTCGAATTCTCACGGTCAGTTTTTACAGGGTACATTATATCATGAAGCATGTCATCAAAAGTTTTATCATCCTCAGTTTGTTTCTCTAGTATCACCTTCAGGACATGACCGACATCTTGTTTTAGAGTGGTTGTTTATGTGCCAGCATCCATCATTGCACTTAAACCCTTTAAGGACAGATCTCATCTTCATCTTTATATCCCCCCCCCCCCCCAGTTTTTTATAGTTCTTGGCATCTTATTGGCTCAATAAGATTTTTCGAATGAAGTGTTGAATAAGTATAATTCAAAAGTTTATTAACGTATTTAGCTTGATTCACCTAGTAAATGTCATGAAAACAGTAAAATTATTCTTTTCTAGATTGTATACTTTTTGCACTTATTTCCCCCTGCTTGTTTATTTGTTCATAATAAGTTTTATTCATCACAATGCG